AGTAGCTGTTTTTTTTTATATCCATGTACTTCTTCAGTAGTCATTCTAGATTCATAGTGACACAAATCAGAATAGCACTTTCCTTCTTTTTTCAGCTGGGACCTGCTTTTTCACAAGTTACTACTTGAGCTGAAGGTACACATTCATGTGCCATATAAAGCCATTCTGTGCCATATGAGGTCTTACTGTAAAAAAAAAAACCCACAACAAAACAGAAGAAAAATCAGCAAACACACACCTCCACTGTACTCCTCATATCAAAGCCCTGTTCCACTGCGGAGTCTTTGAGATTTTGCTCAGATGACAGGTGCAGTTTACATTCATAACTGTCAAGAAACAAAACAGATAAATAAACACACTCTGGCACCTAAGCTTTGCATAACATGTAGTACCATGCTGGGGCTACTTAAAAAATTTAGAATAGAAACAGTTGACTCATTTTATCACTTTAATGAAGAAAAAAAAGCATCAGAAATTGGAGAGCTGACTAAAATTTTTGAAAAGTAATGGTTAAGTTTAGAGATAAAATTAAGTACACTTTAAAGATTGCTAAAGGGTACATTCCACAACCTCTATGGTTTTTAGCATAGATTTCAGTTTCTGGAAAACAGAAAAAATCTTTATAGCCTACAGATAATGTTGACTAGGATTATTAGAAAATATTATTGAGACTAAAAAACATATTATATCTTTGTTGATTATACTATTTAAGACATGTTATATGAATTATTTAATCCTGACATAACAATGTGTAGAGAAAAATATTTTCATTTGTCTTCAATTCAGATCATATTGCCACAGAACATAGCATGAGGGAAAATATTATCAAGTCATAATTTTACCAGATTTGTGCCAAAATAGTGAGGTATGAGCTGTAAGAACAACCTTGATAAGTTTTAAGTTTGGTGTTGTACATAATAAAAGTGATAATTAAATGCATACATCTAAATTAATATTTAGAATTTACTTCTTCTCTAGGGCAACAGTGAAATAATGTCTGAAGCACTGTGTGCAGTGCTAGTCATCCAGGCCCAAAAAAGCTGAACTCTAATTACAGCAGGAGAGAACAGACTATTGGAAAAGTTATGTGGAAATGCATTTTCTTTTCAAATGAAAAATTAAACAGGTTGACTTTTTTATCAAGCAAAATAATGACTACAACAAGACATTTCCTGGAATGCTTGGTGTAATGTGGGAAAAGAGACATCTTTTTAAAAGGGCAGTGTTGTTGTGAGGATAAATCAGTTGTTAATTAATTTGGGATGAATATTACACAAATTTCCAGCAAGTTGCAGAGCAGTGGGGTCACACATATTTGACCTTACTTGATGAATGAAACAGGAAATTATGAGACTGCATGAAATGAAAAACGTTGGCAACAACTTTATCCTTGTCTTGCTGTAAACAGAATGAAAACTACCTGCAGATTTATTCTGAATTCAAGGATTGTTAATTCCATTCACTTTCCCTACTTTTTCTTGGGTTACAGCTGTTTGTCTTCTGAAAGAGACTTTTCAAGTTCTAGTGTGGTGAAGCCAAGCCACACCACACTCAGTGGTTTCAATGTCTGTTGTTCCTGGTTGCCTTGTGTCAGCAGAGCCAGTGGTGTCTGCAGGAACAGTTTGGGAGCTCTCCTCTCATCCAGAGTGTTGCCCTAATAATTCAGTTATGCTGCCATCCTGTAACTACAATTGTCTCCCTTTTTGCTGAGAAAACCTTAAGCTAAATCTCAAACTGAATTGCCTTGAATGTTAACTTGCAGCTTTGTTACAGTTTGAATGCATTATGTCTTTTATGCTGTTTCTGGCAGGGCTTCTGAGTTCTTTAACAAAGGTGGGTGAAGGGTTTCTTCTGTTGACACACATTTCTCTATGAGCAGTCACAAGTGTGAGCTCTTGGTGAGGGTGGCAAAGTCAGTTCAAGTATCTTCTGCTCTCTTCTTTTTAATACTCAGACAAGCTTTTACAAATTCATAGTTCTTGTATTCTGTCTGACCTCCAGATACATTTTTCCTTCCTGGAGAGGAAGAGACTGCAATGAAGGGAGTTTTTCTGGATTGTTTTTCACTTTGGTATCTTCAACAGTCTCACCAAGAGCACAGAACCTCAGAGAGTCACACAGATATAGTGAAGAAATGCTGAAGCAAAAGCTCAACCAAGTAGCAGAGGAACTTCTTGATCCAGCTTTGGTGCCAGAAGTGTGTTTGTGTAGCTATACCCTTAAACATATGTGTATATGTATATACCATTGTGTATATGTATGCAATTTAACACGTGTGGCTATACCATTAACATGGTGTTTAACCTCATGTTGTACAAAACCAATTGGATAGCTGACAGTTAATAAAGCAAGTGCTTAAAAAACTGGGGACTGAGCATGTTTCCCAAATCCAGAGATAGGGCTATTCTGGGAGCTTGCTAGAATCTCCCTCTCATGGGTATACCCATCTATTAAAAAGCAGCTGTGTACATTTACATGAGTTTGGTTTGTTCTTGTAGCTCAGGTGGAGGATTCCTAGGTACAGCTTATGATATCCAAGACTGATGGATTAGGTATGGCTGTAACTCCATTAATTTTCACTGGCACTAACAGCCCTCTGAGAATGACCTGGGAGCAGGAGGCTGCTGGCAGGAAAGGCATCCGTCCCATTCCTGGTATTTGTCATATGCTGGTGACAGGCTGGATGGGATCACTAAGATTTGGCTCTGAAAATTAGGGAGAACCTTTCAACGTGTTTGCACTTGATGTTCTTGGAAGATCCCAGTGAAAGACAGACCTGAGCCTGGTTTAAGACTACTTTCTACACAGATGAAGTTGCAACTGATCAGGTTTATTTTCACAGCTGTTCAGCTGTGATTAGGCAGCAATTTTGGCTGTTGGATACAGCAGGCCTTGGTCACAGTGTGTGTAGATGTTTTCTTTTGTAGTAGAGCTCCGTGGGTGGTAGTTTCATGGCAGTCCACAATGATCCGTGCTAGTGCTGGTGTGGGTCTGCCCTGGGAGGATGTATACACTCTCAGAAAGGTAGAGCATGGTTCTGCCTTTGATGACCAGGATGGCCATATAGTCTTCTTATACATCCCCAGTTCTTTCCTCTTCAGCTACACAAACTAGGTAAAGCAAGGACAGTTTCTAGGAATCTGGCTTAGACCACAAAGAAATAACTGAGTGGGACTGTGAAGCCCTGTTATTACACTTGGAGGCAGGTGGACCTTGGACACCCGATGAGATGCCACAAGCCCATGCTGCTGCATGGGAGAAGAGAAGGACTGACACTGAGCTTTACCCATATCCCACTTTTGGCACAAGAGGAGAGATTTCCTTAGAGGAAAATGTCTGCATAGTCCCCAGTAAGAACAGTGCATATAACACCACAAAGGAAAGTAAAGAGACACAGCTAAATTGTCTCCTCCAGTCTTGCCATGGGAGCAGGAAAGTTCCTTTCTATTTTCAATGAAGGAAATATTACATTAAAAATAATTGAAAGGTTTTGAAAAATACAATTTTGTGAGAAGTTAGTGAAGGAAGATACTCTTCTGAATCCACTATTTAACATATTCAGCAGTCAATGTTCAATTCCTGCTCCTAACATTTGCAAGTGTATTGAAGATGTGCTCTGCCAGACTGTAGAAGCAGTTCTTCAGAGAGATCAAGAATACTAAACAACAGAGTTCATTTAAATGAAATGCATTTTAATATGAGAAGAAATCAAATAATGTATCTAGAAACATAGACCAACATTAAAAAATAGGGGGAAAGAAAAGTAGTGACTCTGAAAAAGAGATTAGAGGGGGCATTGGACCAGTGTGACAGTCCCTACAATGACAAGAGAGGTGGCATGTGCTTTGGAGCAGGGAAAGAATGTATGGAAGCAGTAACATAATTTTATGTGCGAGTACGCAGTAACATAATTGTATGTGTGAGTACAAGTAAGAACCTGGAAATTTTTTCATTTCATACTTTTTAAAAGGATATTAAAAATTGCAGAGTGAAGAAAGCAATTACTAAAGAGGAAGAGAAAAAGCCATATAATGAGATACTTGCAGATCAAGTTGTTCTTTATACTAGAACAGATGGAGAAATTAATTGATTTGTATATAAATGTTTCATGGGAAGAACAAATGAATACAAAAGTGCTTCTAAATTAGCAGAGAAATACACAACAAGAACTAATAGATGGAAACTCAATGAGACAAGCTCAAAATTAAGTATTAGACAGGGAATTTTTATGATTATATTTATTTAGCTGTTATTAACCCGTGGCAAAATGAACACAAATCAACAAAAGCAAGGGTGGGATATCTTCAAATTAAGAGCCAGCTTTGAGTTATTCTCCTAAATACAGCATAAATACAAATACGGGCTACAGACAGAGATTCTTTCCACTCAAAACTTTGTTTTAAGAATTGTGTTGTATTTAAAATAATGTAAGCATTGAGGAAATATTCTTTCACTCCTTTGGTAATATCCTGGAACACATTACCCACACCGTTTTTCAGTTGTTTTCCCTGTGTTTAGCATGGCAACATCTAGTTGCAAATTATTTTAATTGGAGTGTGGTTTTTTTATTATTATTATTATTGATGTTAATTGAACTGATATCAGGCTTTCTTCTTACTTCATGTGGTACACTGACTTTCCTTGAGCCAGACTCTTCCTAATTCACAGTCCACCTGGTCTTGTGGCTATTTTTTAAAAGGCAGTGGAAGTAATTGTGAAAGACACCAGAAAAAATAGAAGGGTGTTAAGGTTTTTGTGAAAAATGAGAAAAGAAATCCAGAGTTATTTGTTCCTCAGGATCTGAGAGAGATGCAGAATTGCTAAGAACTCTAGAGCTGCCCAAATGCTGTGCCATCTCTCCATTTCTAAAAAGTAGCATAAGCATCAGTTCTGCTATGTAAAAGAGTCAGAGGACTGCAGTCTGTGTAGATTTTGGCTGGGATACAGTTCATTTTCTTCCTGGTAGCTCCTGTGGTTCTGTGTTTTGGATCTGTGCTGATAACAGTGAGAAATTTTCATGATTACTGAGAAGCACTTGCACAGCGTCAAGGCATTTTCTGTTTCTCTCACCTCCCCATCAGCAGCTGGGCTGGGGAGCACAAGGATCTGTGAGGGGACAGAGCCAGGATGGCTGACCTCGGGATGTCACATACCATATGGCATCATGCTCTACATATAAAGCTGGGGGAAGAAAGAGGAAGGTGGGACGCTGCTGCTTGTTTTCCTAAGTTATCTGATCCATCCTTCTGACGGAGCCCAGCTTTCCTGGAGATGCCTGAACAACTGCCTGCCTATGGAAAGTGGTGAGCAAACTCCTTGGCTTGCTTTCATTGCATGTAGGGCTTTTGCTTTACCTCCTAAACTCTTTCTCTCAATCCTTTACATTTTAACTTTTATTTTTTCCCATTCTCTGGACATCCTACTGAAGGCAAGTGAGCAAGCGGCTGTGTGAGGCCTAGTTGTCGGCTGGGGTTAAACCACAATCCAGATTTAGTTATTGAAATGAAACTGTCCAATATTTGTACCATAGGCAACATTATGTGGTAGTGGATAAGCAGAGTTACATTTGGCCTTAGAGATAGGCAAAATTTAAAGCATGGGCATAATATAATGACAAAAATCTCAGTTACTCAGCCTTCTTCCTCTCCTTTAAGTACTGCAGTCTGCAATGCAATAATTATTTTTCTATCTTTACATTAACAGGCCAAGTTCTCCATCATGCTCATAATTTTGATTTGAAGAGTCTCTGTGCTTTAAGTATTTCTCTTTTCCTCTGGTTCTAGCTACAGTTTGAGCATCTGTCTGGACAGCTTTGGTTTTGCAGTAGTTAAACATCTTGTGACTTGTCTTCAGTTGTCACATTCCTGGTCTTTACAAAAGGCACATATGGGCCACTTAAAACTTTCGTTTAGCTCATTAGTAATGTAAGTGTAGCTTGATGGTATGCCAGATGCTCTCCAGTTCAGAGAAATATGTCTGTCTGAGTGTGACTCTCTCCTATGAAATCTGCTTTCTGCAGCAGATTTCCTCAGGCAGATCAAATTTCTTTCACGGCTCTGAAGAACTGATTCCACAACCCCTTTTGTACAGTTTGCAAAGATTAATTGTGGTTTTGTGCTCTGCTCCCAGCCTCAACCCAAGTCAAGCTGGACAGTGAGTACTGGGGCACACTGTGGCCACTGAGAACAGGTTGCTACAGAGATCTCTGCAGGGTCCCAGGGAAGATGGATGAAATACAGATGCAAAGCACCCTCTTGCAAGGGAGAATCTATTAGGTTTAAAGTGTATGGACAGTATCAGCTGTCTTAGATAGATTTCACTGAACATTTTTTGTCCTTAGCAACATCACCATTGTAATACACCAAGTATGCTATTTGTGAATGGCATATTCAGTGCTATTTTTCCTTCTGCACTTACCCAATAAAGAAGCTTTCTCCATATGCTTTCCCAACCAGAAAAGAAAATCTTTTGTTTATAGATTGATCTACTTAAGGAAATGTTGTACTGCTTCTTGTTTCTTAAGATCCAGAGCTCTACTAGATGGTTTCTTCTGTGCAAATTTCTAGGGGAATGAGTAAGAAAAAGAAATGGAGGACAGAAGGAATATTTTAGGCAGCTGTTTGGGAATCTGTGAAATAATCTGAGGTCTTAGCCCCACAGGTGTCCGTGTGACACTCCCTATCATTATTTATAACCTTTTTGCTTTTATAAGCAAAGAGGGCAGGAATGTGCAGGGAGATTAAGCCAGCTACTTTCCCATGCCTAGATGTAGTATTCCAGTTAACAGGAAAAGATACTGGGAAAGAATATTGTGACGGCTGTGCATAGGGAGCTGGTGCTCTCATGCCTCCATATGGCATCTACTTTTTGGAAGAAAGGTGGGGAAAGGGCTTTCAGCTTCCAGATTGGTTTGTGCAGAGCCTTTCTAGAAAACTGTAATCCTGGAGATTCTTCTTTCCAAACACCTTCAGACAGATATTTTTTTTCATTGTATAGAAAAACAAAATGAATGTACAGAGTTCATATATGGGGTTTCACATTGGCTTTTAAAGCTAAAGCAGTGTCAATCTTGATATGACAGTAATTTCATTAATTTTATTAAGTAGATGATCAGTTACAGCTTTTATATCTGCATCAAGATCGGTGAACTGTAAACTTATGTGGTAAGTGGGTGAGGTAGTACCTTTTAAACTATGAAAAAACAACATTAGCTGTAATGCTCAGTATGTCTGCTTATTGTAGGCATAGAATTGAATATAATAGAACTGCTACTTTCAAACATAGCTGCCATTTTCAACCAGGTGGCTATGCTGAACAGATGATTGCATTTTGTTCCCATGGAAATTTGCACATGTGTTTAGCTATTTATAGTATCTATTGCTGATGGAAACCATCATAACCTGGGTGAGCAAAATTGGGAAGTATAACAGTGATATTTGGGAAACATATATTTTTGACAGCTATTTTCTGTTTACTGTACCTTTTTTTTTTTCTCTCTACATTTTTCACTACATGGGTTGTCATTCAAAAACCCAGAGTTCACTGCCTACCCTGAAAATTTGTAATTCCTTGACTTCTTTGGCCTCTATCTCAAAAGGATATAACTAAAACCAGGGTAGACACTTCAGTTACTCCAGACTCAGAGTCTTTAAAAGGAGGAGAAAGCAGGTTCATCAGAGTGAAAATTCAGGGAATGCTGTTCCAGGATGAACTTTGTAAGAAGTCTGGGTAAGACTTGTGTATATGTGGCATCTTATGAGCATGAGAAAAGCTCAGAGAGAAAGGTGTGCATAAGAAGGCTCTTGTTGCTAATAAAATGGCTTTTAGCCCTCCTCTTTCAAGCCCTCCTCTCACCTCCTCCTCAAATGAAGGTATGCACAGCAAGGAGAAATCATAATGGATTTTAAATTATTCTGCATTAAATTTTACCTCCCTGAGATTTGTTGCTACCTCCTTGTTACTTAAATGCTTTAGAGAAAGTGCTCTGCAGGCACCAGCTATACTGACTAACTCAGGTAGTTTTTAATTTAACTTAGATAAATATCATACTTGCTTCAGATTAGCCCAGGTTAAAAAATGTTCCTCTTCTAGGAAAGAAAGTCACCTTGCTCAATAGAAGCCAAATCGTTTTGTATTTTTTTTCTCAGGAAGTGTCCAAGTCTTGCTATGAGAAGATTGAGTGTTCCTAGTGATGGACAGTGCCAGAGGAATCTGCTGTGACAGTGACACAGGCTCCAACACCACAGAGCATCATGATGCTCTGATGTTCTAATGAGTGTTTTGCTGGGCTAGCTGGGGTCTGGGGGGCCCAAGAAGAGAAAGGATCTTAGTGAGAGGAGGAATCTCTGCCCACTTCTGTAGAAGTGGTTAGAAGCTGGTTAATTTTTTTTCTTGTACTCTTCAAGTACAAGACTTCCTTGCAGATGGCAGCTCCCTTCAAGAGCTTGGCTGGCTCTCCCAGCCAGCAGCTGTGCTATGCCTACACAAATCCAGCGTGGGCATTTGATAGAAAAGCAGAAAAAAGAGGTGAGAATTTGGTGCATCCCCTGCTCCACTTTCTTGGAAGAGAAAGGCTGTGCAGTGCTAATGCCCATGTGCCAGGAGACTGGAAGCAAAGATAAAACATGCAGGACAGACACTACTGTCACCATCATTGCAGAAATCACGGTCATGATGGACGTGGCTGACTAAATGCACCATCATCCTTGTTCTGCTACATTGTACGTTGTGTCCCTATACAGCAACACCCTCAACATCCACATTTAGTTTGAATCAGGTGTTCCTGATCACCTCTTTGAGGTGAATGACTTTATCATCCCTTCCTACCAAACTTTGCTTTCCCTTGCCAAGTGCTGTGACAGCACATGAACTGAACTTCTGTCAGCTGAAACCCAGCTGAGAGATGCTCTCTAGCAGTTAGTGTGTGCTTTCTCCACAGAAGCAAACTAAAATCTCACAAGATACGCAGTACGTGAATTGTGGGTCCTTAACAACAGATATTTTCCCTTTTGTTCTCTCCCATTAGGATGATTTATGTGCAGGTGTCAGGAACATATTTAAGAAATTAACTGTGTTTATCCAGTTTTCCTCAGAGAACTGATTTATGATTTACTGACCAGCTTTCTGTTGTTTCCAACTTGCCTTTTTCCTTCTCATTGTCTTCCACTTACTACTATGACTGACAGAGTCCAGCCAGGATAGGAATTAAAAAACTTTGGGTCATTGTGTGACTATATGCAAGTGAAAGTTGAATCTTATTAGATGGTCAGTCAGTAAAAATAATCAATTTCTTCTTCACAGATAACATGATTTTCTCTGGCCTTGCAAAATGTGGGCATACTACTTGACTTGATGCACCTTGTATTTCATGCCTCAGTATGCAATGATTGTTTGCTTCTAACAATGAAGTTGAGGATAATTTCTATCAATTTCATCATAATTTTCCATTATATATTAACAAATGAGATCAGAAATTATACACCTTTACTCTTGTGTTAGTTCTGTCTTTTTAAAGTTCTAAATTGCACAATGCAGCCTAATAACTACTAGCTGCCTACAAGTGCATGCCAAGGAATAAGGATGTAAAAGCAGAAGCACTTGTTTCAGCTTACAAGCTTTTTGAAATAGGAGAAGAAAAAGCCCTTCTCTTAAAGTGTGGAAAACCAGCTTGTTGAAGTGTTATAATCTATCCATGGAAGGATTGGGAAGGATAATTTACTTGAATCCTCTATAGAGGAATATTGTAATCCTTACCAACTGTTATCAAATTAACCATTGCAGTGAGAAATGGTTACAGCCCAGGCAACACAGATAAGGCATGCACAGAAAGATATAGGCTTCCTCTGAAGAGATGATAATGCTATAGCCACAATTACATTGTTCTCATAATTCCTGTCAAGCTGCTTCAAGAGTGGGGGAGTCAATAAAACATGCCTATCATAGACTAGAGGCTGATTTGTATTACCCAACAAAAATCAATCAAAACAAAAATTTCATTTCTAGTGGCCTTGATGTAGGTTCCTCAATCATTTTCTCATTAAATATTTCTTGGATAACTTGTGATATTCACTGGGGAACGACTAAGACATTTTACACATGATGGTAAAAGATTTTCTCCTGGTACTATCAGGGAACATTAGAATTTTCTAGGCTCTGAAGCGTGGAAGCTATTAAAGTGTCAGGAATCTGAAGATCCTATCTTTGGCAGTGTAGTAAATATACTGATATCAAAATTCTGTGCCTAATACTAAAGTCATTAAAAAGCAAGAATGATTTCTTCAGTGAAAGCGCACATTCCTAGGTA